ACAACTTTACATCAGCTAGTGATGTCTACAAAAGATTTTGTGAGCAATTATACATGGCCTTCTCTCATTTTGTTCAGTTCAAAACTCCTCAAACGATGCGAACGGCACATCCAGTACATATAAGGAACTTAGTCGCTCAGAAAGAAAGATTATTTCTATCTCTTAACCGTCCATTGGAAAATACCCTCTACAGAAAAGTGTGTCGAGACCTTGACGGTCATGTAAAGAAGCTTCTTATCAATCGTGAGCATCGTCTTACAAGAGGGTCAAATTTGAAAAGGCTTTTCCACTATATTAGACAGAAAACAAAAAATAATTCAGGGTTACCTACCTTGCTTGATACTTCGGGCAAGAAATACATTTCAGATATGCAGAAAGCTAGAATATTAGGCGAACATTTTGCTTCCGTATTTTCCAGCAGTGGCTCTGAGCAGAACGTACCTGATGTTAAGGGTATCCCACATATAGAGAGTAGACTTTCGGGGGTCTTCTTTCACCCAGAGGATGTCCGAACGCATAGAACCTTCCACATCAGAAACATACGATGGAATCCCCAGATAGTGTATAAAAAGTGTGCTTCATCCTTATGCCAGCCATTAACGCATATTTTCAACATTTCTATGATTCTTGGCGAGGTTCCGGATTTGTGGAAAGAAGCCTTGGTCACGGCCATACCTAAATCTCCTAAGGCTGCAAACATCTCCGATTTTCGACCGATAAGCATTACGCCTGCTCCCAAGTAAGCTAATGGAGAGACTAATCAGAGACAAGATACTGGGTGGCTTGAGAAGTTCAACATGATTCCAAAAGAACAGCATGGTTTCTTGAGTGGGGCCTCCACGGTATCCAATTTATTAGATAGCTTGTTTGACTGGCAATCCGCTCTGAACAATGGAAAATCCGTAGACATTGTCTTCGTTGACTTATCAAAAGCATTTGATAGGGTCTGCCACCGTAGGTTGCTAGTCAAATTGCAGCATCTGGGGATTTCTGGGCAGCTTCTAGATTGGCTGAGATCTTTTCTAAATCAACGATACATGACCGTCAAGGTTCGTCACAGCTTCTCTGACAGACACCACTGTCAAAGTGGTGTCCCTCAGGGAAGCGTTTTATCGCCGTTGCTTTTTTTAGTATATACATTGGACCTCCCTGCTTACATTACTACTTCCCCCGAGGTGAAGGTGCAGATGTATGCTGATGACATAAAAATATATGCCGCATACGATACTACCAACAAGAGTGAAGTTCAAGCAGCATTTAGGCTATCCCTAGCGAAAATGTCGGAGTGGGCCGCCTCTTGGGGCTTGACGATCAACTTAAACAAGTGTTCCCTTTTGCACTTGGGGGATAACGTTTCGCCGAGGTATGAAATCAATGGGGCTTTTCTGGAAGGCTGCAGTAAGCTCAAAGATCTTGGAGTTTTGTTACAGAATGACTTGAAATTTTCCTTCACAGATTGAGCAGGTGGTTAAAAAAGCATTCGCTGCGCTTTTCCTAATCTTTCGAAACATTCAACTGAAAGAACCCAAAACGCTGGTCCGACTGTATAATGCATACGTTTTACCACACGTAAACTACTGTTCTCAAATTTGAAATCCCTTTCTGGAG